GACCCAACGGGCAGTTTGCAATCAACACTCTTGGTTGGTAAGCACAAGATCCAGCACAGACGACCTGTTGTTTGCTGTGAACAGAGGGGTAAATTGACGTGACTGTAAGGAGTAACAGTGGCTACGAGATCATGTAGATAAGCTTTGAATTGTTCTCCGATCTTGGCAGAAGTTTCTAAACAATGGACATTGAAATCATCCATGGAACGTTTGTGTTTGTAATTTTGCTGTAAACGGCATCTTTAAGCAGCCGCTAGGTAGCAGTCGATTTCGGGTGTAGAGTTGGGGTGGCCGTACAACAACCCAATTAGGCAAGCGTCTCTGTCTTTTAATAGCAAACGGTACTAAAGTGAGTCGGGGAACTGTAAGTCTGAATCCTCCATGACTTCGCTCTTTTATCCACTTCGGTAATACGGAATTACCCCTCAATTTTTGAGCCTATAGTTCGGAAACAGCAACGTGCCCGATATCGTAAATGCAGCGTCCATTATTCCCGTGTACAACCACGTCTCGGTGACACCGTTGATATCATGTGACCCGGAAGCATCACGATTATTCAGCTAGGTCAGTTTGTTAAAAAGTCCCTGAGCATATGTATACAGGCAGGCCAGTTTCTCGGTTTCTATGGGCCCACAGAGGGGTGAAGGTGTCAAGTGTGGGAGAATGCCGACCGATGGGAGGTCGGCAGTTACTCCTATTTCTTATGGGATAATGATATCTTGTCAGCAACTTGAACAATGAACAATGATTTATCATGGAATAAAAGCAAGTGCTTGACACGTCCCGTAGGATGGTTGGGGTGAATATGATGAAATCAAGATATATCTGGGTCATCTACCGAACGTCTGCCTAGATGAATACTTTGATAAATTACGTCAGTGCAAAATTAAAATAAAGCAGAGTGTAAACATTCAGAAATACACTGAGGTACAGTGGTCGTTGAGATGAGGCTTGAGGAAAGTAAAATATGCTCTCCCACTTGGGTCCATTTGATACATAAATCCTGTTGAAAAGCATGCTTGGAGTAATCCACAATAGAGGAGTTTAGGTAACAAAATGCTGGGAGCTAAGAGCGACATCTAATCATTTTTTGAAAACGTCCAACGTAGGAGAGGATACAACTGAGTCTGGGAGTGCGTCCCAGGGTTGGCAAACCCGAAGGGAAAAGTAATTCCGTCGACACTCTAGACGGCTATATTGTTCCGTCAACTTCAAGCAGATACCCCTGATCTGCGTGCTGTGGCTAAGTTTCGGCAAATGGCGGCATACGTGGTTGGGGTCACTCAGTATCTGATACGCTAATATGAGATCGTGTCCAATGCGTGTTGGCAAGGTAATCGATTATTATGAGCATTATGAGAAGTATCCCTTTGTACTCATTATGTTATTTATACACACCAAAGAAACCGTACTACCACACATATGATGTAAGCTGACAAAACGGTTCGCTGTTTTGAAGACTTTAGCTGAACTGAATATTACGAATGCGCTATAACGCGTCCTAGTTTTCTCGACTTGTGGTCGGAACAGATGAACCTTTTTCAAAGATAGCACCCCACGCGTGCAGAGTAAACAATCGAATTCGGAACACTGCGGGATAAAGTGACCTAGCCGCCAGACTTACACGCGAGTTGAGACTGAGACGGAAAACAGCGTAAACTAGCACGACTGCAATGAGACCCAAAATGAGAGACTGACAGTTAGCAAGAATATTTTTAGTAACAGTCAAGGCGAAGCATGCCTTCTACACCCTCATATTTATGACTTAGTGTAATAGCATGGTAATGAACAATGAACAATGATTTATAACGGGTAAAAAAGGTACTTGACATGTCACGTAGGGTGTTTAGAGTGAAAAAGATAGATCAAGGGATAATGGAGTCGTCAGTTCAGGCGCTTACAGATTTGACTGCATTGGCGTACAAAGAGAGTTTGAAATGAGAATATACGCAAACAAAGCCATATGGGGAGTGGTTACTGTTCACATCATAGGGGAGAAAAATAAAAAAGATAGCAAAGACAACGCTTACTCGTGTGCAACTATCTTGGGTCGACAGGATACAGAAATCCAGTTGCTATAGTAGTAATGTTTATCAAATTCTCTGCAAAGGGTTTGGAGTGACTCATTCTCGAGTTGGGTTATGGCACTATAAACTGTCTGTTTGCATTAGTGCTAGCATCTGGTGGTCATGGGTTATAGCACGTAGTGTAAATGTGGCAGAGTATCGTCAAGACGTTTTTTGAAAAGGAATAGGGTGGGTGCATTAATTACATGTTCGGGGAGGGCGTTCCAAGGCTGTGCCACTCGAAGGGAGAAATAGTTTCGTCGACATTCCAAGCGGCTGTACTGCGTGGCCAACTTAAACCGATGACCTCTTAGCGGGGTGTTTTGACTGAATATTAGAAGGGAATGGCATGGGTGGTTGGGGTTTCTCAGGATCTGGTACACCATTATGAGATCACCCCTTAGACGCCGATAACGTCCACTGTATATTTTGAGGGTCTTCAGCCTGAGTGGGTAGGGGAGGCTGGTCAAACCTCTGACGCTCTTCGTTGCCCTACGTTGTGCAGTATCGAGTGCGGTGAGATGGTGCTTGAGCCAGGGTTACCACGCTTGGATAGCGTATTCCGCGAGCGGTCTCGCGTACGCACTAAGCATTTTTGGGAAGACTGAAGGGTCAAACTTCCCGAAGGCTCTGCGAAGAAGGCCGACGTACTGGTTTGCTTTCTTAGCTGGCTTTTCAGTCTGCCTCGAACAACCGAGGTCGCCTTGAACTATCACGCCGAGGTCGCACTCGTGAGAAGCCCGTTGTAGAATTTGTGGTCCTAGGCGGTACTTACACACACTCTTGTGCCGTATGTGAGAACTTTGTACTTGGTGACGTTGAAATGCAGCATGTTCTCGATGGACCATGTGTAGGCTTTGTCCAGATCCTCCTGTAAGAATGTGTGATCCTCCACTGTAGCTATAGTACTCCATACCTAAAGGTCATCAACAAATAGCAAACAGTTAGAAGATAGCACACTCGCGAGATCATTTATGAAGACCAGGAACAGGTGATGTTGCACGAGAAAGTACTATCCAGCCCAGAACAGGATCGCCGATTCCGTATTTCTGGAGTTTGTGTAGTAGAATGTCATGGTCGAATGCCTTTGATAAATCCAGGTAGGCCGCGTCGATTCCTACACCAGCGTCCACAGATGCCGTCCAGCTTGCACTAGCAAGCAAGAGATTAGTGGTAGAGGAGCGATTTTTGCATAACCTATACAATAAGCCAGATGTTAGCAAGGCACTTGAGTTGTCACCCAGTGATAATATCCTTAGGAAAACTCAGTTATTTTCATGGAGGCTTTGTGAGTCAACTGCCATGGTGTGTTATGGAGAGTTCTGTGGGTTCCCTACAGCTGGCACAGTATATGTATCAGTATCCTTAATGAGGCTCAGTTATTTCACTCTGGATATGCATCAAAGCCCTGAGTCGAATCGGTTAATAATTGAGCAGTTTAAGTCGTCGTATGGTGAATGTGTGCTTGAAGTGAGCCCGGCGAAATCTGTGCACCTTTGGCGGAGCTGACTCTCATACCTTCGTAAGCAGCCACTTGCGCGCATATAATTTTCTTCACTAACCGGTAGTTACCAGTAAAGTTTAGTGTGCAGAGAGAAACTAGCAGAGAAAAATTTGAAAGAATTTTGTTATTTGTATTATCATAACCCCATTTTCAAGCATGTCATCCTGTGGCATCTCCTGGCCTCCTTAAAAATTTTCTCATCCCAGGTTCCCGCAGAAATTCTCTATGGCCCCAGGGAGGCCAAATGGCTCCCGTTGGGAATGGCTGCTCTACAGAATTCCCATCGGCTCTGTGAGAGATTGACAGCGTTTGCAACCAAAGTTTTACCAACACTGTAAAAGCTTCAGCCTTTAAATAACTGTTGTTGACCTGCAAATGTTCGGCTTAATAGGCACGAGCCAATAGTAAAGTGTTACTTGAGATGAGGGTACGCGGAAAGGAAATAATGTCTCGGAAAACATGCTATATTGAATGTGAACCAATCATTCTCCTTCCAAGTAGGATAACTATTAGGTCATCTACTCACCCTACAGGCAAAGATAGCCAAAAGGCCGCTTCAAAAGTAAGAGCAGGACCGTTGACTCCGTCATTAGACTCGTTTTTGAATTTCATCAGATATTTCATACCACAACTTGTTAAATGACCCGAAAGTTAGCACACAAACGCTTAACTATTACTTGCTATTCTTATGCAAGCTGCATACTGCCTGTAAAGTTATGGAACAGAGCTGCCTGTCAAGTAGAGCGATGCCAGAGCGGATCTTATCTGCTCCAAACGGATCCTCGCTTGATAAGCGATATTCGTTTCTATCTAACATCTGAGCCACACTTCTGCAAACGGGTTCAAAAACCTCCCTAACTTCACCTGGTTAGATTGTGTAGGTTTCACTAAGGAATCAGGCTACTCTTTGAACTGATTGACGTTGAGCTTGCAATTCGACGTGTGTCCTCTACTGCTTGACTAACGATTATCACTGGGATTTGTGTGGTTTGTATTATTTGATTTGATTGAACATGAAGTCGTGCCTTACATCGCTGTTAAACCACTGTAGAATTTCTGTTTCTGTTCTAGGGTCCCATCAATCAAAGAAAAGAATACACTACCGCTGTTTACAAGCGTGATTGGTATGACCCTTTCATCCAAACCCTTGAGTCAATTATCTGAGACACAGTGGATAACTATTATCGACGGTCTCTTTGTGATCTCAAGAGCCGACATCCAAGATTGATTTCTTGGGCACATTTTGACAGAAGTGTAACACGTTAACCAAGCAACATCGATCGCCAAAAGATCAACACAGTATTTTTAATGGATTTACTTGCTGATGTTAGTAGCCTAGATAAATGAATCAAACAGTTCTGTTGAAATAATATGACATCTCTTAGTGTGAAGCCAAAGTATTAAAATGGCGAGCACAGTGTAGCGTGTAGTTGTATCAAGTAGTGCTGTGAAACTAGAAGATTGGCAATTGGATTGTTCTGGAAATCCAATCCACGTGAGCGATTGCTGATGTGTAAACACCTGGGTTCAGGCCACATCCGCGAGCCAATCCGAAACTTGTGACACCAGCAACAAACCAGCTCTCTGATTTTGGTAGTTGACAATAGAGACCACCACCGCTATCACCAGAACACGTATCCTAAATGGAAAGAAAGAATGGAGCGGTGATTTCATCTTCCCAAAAATTGTCATCCAGATATAACGAGTGGAATCCTGAGTTAGAATTACAATTTTGATGTTAACAGGCTGTTCCAAATAATTCCTCGTCAATTTTGCTATTTGATGAAACCTACCGTAAAGGTCACCAGAAGTAATGAATAGTAAGCGGCGATCCCACGCAAATCATGAAAACGAAACCTGCACCCGATGGGACAGTCACCGACATACAACAAATGGCATTGCTTTGGTTGATTACAACTGCTAGATCGCATGCCTCTTACAAGGATTAACTAGTTGGTCGTGTACTGAAGCTAGCTGCCACCATATAAGTGAGGGGGCTGGAAATGCTGGTGATTGGAAATGCTGTAATACCGATCGAACATCACAGGCCAGACCGATAAGGTTGCCGGGCAGGTTGCCGGAAGCAGATTGACCAACCAATCAGGAAATAGTTGGCCCGTGATCGCGTCCAGCCTGCAACCATCCACTGAACGTGCAAGTGCCCAGTCAGGCGCTAGCAGGCAAAGGAGCACACACTCGTGCACACTTAAGTAAAAGCTTGTGGTATTAGACCGATGGAAGAAGAGCGCGGGTCCAATCCCGCCAACCGTATATCCGCTAAGAAAGTTAAGATGATTTTAGACAGAGAGAACCTGCTGACCAAGCATGAACCAATGGTAAAGGAGCCAGCCACGCTATGCAAATAACAGGGATTAGCCACTGAAGCGGGCTGTTGTAAATATTGTATATACTATAAATATTCGTGCGTATTCTTAATAAACGACTTCGTGATCGCGGCTCAGTCTTCTTGCTTCCTGGAGGGCAACACGACTATTTACTACTATACAGCTTAATTAAAAACAAGTTATTTGAATTTTACATAAAATTTACTCTGTACACTAGAGTTCGAGGTAAGCTAATGTGGATAAACTGAAAACGCTTATCATTCCGATTTACCGGATTCCAAGTACACAGTGGCAGGGCTGTCCATGTGACATGCATCTTGTAAACCATTTCATCCACAGGACTCTAAGACCACCATGATCATGCGGTTACAATCATTTAAACGAAAACGAGAGTTGCAGACGCATTTTTGCTCACGGACGCTGTTCCATCACCTTTCACGCTTTTCTGGGTGATACATCATCTCTAGTTTCGGAAAGATACTTAGTGATTATATTCGACTTCATGTCGAATAGGCCGTTCAAGTCTGGTATCCATGGCTTAAACAAGATCTCAATGCTCGGGGTCGGACAAAGCATAGTGTACCGGAAAACACGCTCTTTCAGTATTCTGCAACATGGGCTTTTATGGTTGTTTTAGCCTTCAAAACGTCTACATGTGTTACTGACCGCACATCCGTTGACACAAAGCGTTTTGATGAGTACCTTGTTGCACCGTTTCTCGCTCTAGTTGATTCGCTCCCTATTTTGGTAACCTGCACAATATACTTTGGGTTCAGCCGCCTCCGACTTTTAGACCGACCAGTATTTGACACGTCTTACGTGCCATTCCTTACCGACTAGTATTCCAGGCTCCACCCAACAATTGGTGACCCCTGTCAGGAACAACCCGTCAGCCAATTTGAACTTGCATTCTGGTGAGATCGTTCCAGTGATTTTGCGCTTCATTAGTTGTCATCATATTGCGTTCTCACCTACCGCATATTTTATCTGCTTTTTGCAATGGATTATCCAGAGAATGAGCCATCTCCATACCTGGTTAACGCCGTTCAGCCTGTCATGGTCAACTCTGTTGCGTTAGCTCCTCCACCATTTTAGTGTAGGTGGCATCACCACCGCTATTGCATCCATAACACCAGTCTACGTCTTTCCTCAGACTTCGCCAGATTTCGCCAGGCTCTTTTCCCAGTATTCCAAGCTCGTTCAGCCAATGAACACAGCTTTGCCCGTGGCATCCCAAGTCACGCACCACATACGGACCAATGCCCCCCGTCTCATGCCGTCCCGGCAGACTGTCGTCCGAGAAACTAAAGGTAGTCAGGGCGGAGTTCGAGCACATGCTTGAACTTGGCATAATCCACATTTTCGACAGACGTTGGTCCTCGCCCCTGCAGATGGTCCCCAAGAAATCTGGTGACTGGCGCTCTTGCGGTGATTACTACGCACTCAATCGGCAAACCGTCTCAGATAGGTATCCGATCCCACACATGCAGGACCTGAATTACAAAAAGTTTGGAAAATAGTACATTTTCAGACTACTATTGGCCGCAACGATTATACAATTTTGAAGAATTTGGCGTATCCGAAGTTACCACCGAAATTTTCATATGAGTAGCTGAGAACCCTGTTACTTGATCGTAGGTTGACAAAAAATTTTGTAGTGGGAGAAAGAACCAAGTTTAACGTCTTGCAAAGTCAACAAAATCAGCCTGTTCCTGCTTTTATTTCCCAGATGCATGCTCAAGCCTCTGGAGTTTCTTCCGGGGAAAAGCTGACTAAGTATCTCAGAGATCGCCAAACCTACGGAATTAATATCCCAACTAGGTGTCGTCAGTTTCTTTTACTTCCTGGTCCAACATCCGATGAGGTCAAAATTGTGAAAAAGTTCAAGACGTTTACGAATTGTCGAGTAAATCCTGTTTGGTTCTGCCAGAAATCCGTGCTTCTGCAGAGCAACACAAACGGTGGCAATACAAATACTCTAGGTTAGAAGGAGATCATCGTCCTTGCAGGATAAACCACCACAACACTGCTAATCCAGCTACAGTCTTTAAACGTGGAAAGCTACATTCTCATCATGTTTGTCCTTGCCAAAATTCAGTGTTTCCATTGTGGCAAAATTAGACATATTCGTACTACTACTACTAATACTACTATGGCTAATAATAATAATAATAATAATACTAATACTAATACGTATATATCTCTTGATGAGAGAAACTTTGTCTTTAGCGGCACAGGTCAATTTGTACAGAAGAATCCATGCTCTTGCATGGGTGACATGCGTAGGTGGAGTATTGGGATACATGTTTCATGTATTAACATTCTGGCGGATGGTTGAGGCCAAATCCTGGTTATGAAAACATTGGTGTTTATATGTTTTTGGGGCGCTCTTGGAATAGCTCATCGAGGGTCATTTCTCATGTGAATATAGAGTTTAGGGTAGTTAGATCAAGGTAATCGGCGCGTCTGCTTCTAGTCGTTGCCACCTTGTCACATGACCTGAGTGTTATTGGTAGTTTATTCCACAGATAGCTATGTCTGAACAGGAAGAAGCTAGAGCGGACCTTGGTTCTAGCCTTCGGAATATTCAGTGTGAAATCATTGTTGCGAAGCGCTCGAGTTGAGTAATGGTGTAAATTGAGTGTAGGCAGGTTGGAATATGTCTTTCTATGTAACGTGTTGAAAAGCGGCAACAAGCTGTGCTTCAATCGTCGAATCCAAAGTGGTTCGAGATGAAGTTCATCGCAACTTCCTCGATAACTCATTACAGAGCGTTTACCGATAAGATGTTTAGCAAATGACTTCTGCAGGTTCTCCACAGCAATTCTGTCACTCTCATATTACCGTATTCTGTCGACTTGTAAAATTATGTAAATTATGAATGCACCTGTGGACGACATGATCCAACTATGTGATGATGTTAATTCACTAATGTCTACTGTTAATGGTAATGACAGTTTGGAAACAGAATATCATATGAGTTCAGTGGCGACACAGGTATTGTGGAATTCCTGCTTACGAAATATCGCCTTTATCGCCTTTCTCCTGGGGTGAAGTTAAATCCAACCTCTATTACCATCCGACGTATTGCTGGTCATACTCATCCTGCGTTTGGTTGCTGCATTTTGCTAGTATTGAACAAAGACAGCGATATTGTCGAGTGTGCTTTTCTTGTCACAAGTCGAGGACCATCCATTCTTTGGTAGAATGTTATGCAGGCACTCAAACTAAGTGTCAAGTTTTGGTCGAGTGCAGATACTGAGGCCTAAATTCGTTCTCTTATTAATGACTGCGCCATAGCATCTGGTGGTATGAAAATTCCTTCAGTAGTTGTTGAAGTTATTGGAGATCACATATTTCCTAAACTTGGAATTTTGCCATATTGACTAAGGGAGTTAGGGCGGAAAGTTTTAAACACTTTGTATGAAAAAGGAGTACTTTAACTAGGGCAGAGTTCACGATGAGCAACGCCCATTGTCAACCTACTAGAGGAAAATAGTCAGACACCCAGAGTCTGTGGTGACTATGGAAACACCCTTAATACAAGATTGTGTCAGCGTAGCCGCACTACGGAGAAACCCGAAGCTATTCTATCCCGTTTACATGGTACTTAAGTTTTTTAGAAACTGGACGTAAAGATGCCTATCTACAGGTTCCGCCTAATAAGTCACGTAGAGAACTAACTACCATTAATACGCCTTTCGGTTTGTACCGTTATCACTTTCCTTCTTTTGGCTTTAGTGTATCTCAAGGCATCTTCCAGGATGTTATGAATTCAATCGTAAAAGGATTAGAAGGCGTTGAAGTATATCAAGATGATGTGAAGGTAGATTTCGCAGACAAATTCGCTCATGATTCCCGTCTACTAATACTATTGTAAATATGAATCCAAAAAGTGTATTAACTGTGTTAAAGAAATCAGCTGTCTGGGTTACTACGTTACCACCTCTGGATTTAGCCCTGAGGTCTGTCGTCTTAAACCCCTGGCTGATGTGAAATCACCGACAAACGCTCTTGAACTAATGTCATTAATGGTAGTCATGCAACACTAGTCAACTCTTATGTAGATTATTGCTATCTTGTTTAATAAACTTAAAAATTCCCTGTGGTCTACAGAGCAGCATGAAACAATGCTGCAGGAGGTACTAAGCTCACTCCAGTCTGACTGCGTACTTCGACCGTTTTCGCATGAAATTCGTTCTGCTCTCCTTACTGATGCTTCGCCATGTGGTATTGGTGCTACGTTAGGACAAGAAGGATGCCCAGTTCTTTGCATTTCTCCCCGAATCAGCAA